TCTTCCCTCGACATACAGCTTAGGTCCCATATTCCATCTTATCAACTGCTATCTTATCAATATCTTCAATCCCCTATTCCTTTCATCAAAACTTCTTCAGGAAAATCTCTACCCTGGATAACTCTAAATGTCTGCTTTCTCCATGCCCACAGCCAGACAGCTGAGTTCCATTAAAGAAAAGTCATTCAACTGAACAGAGTGGTTCCACAATTAATTAATATCATCATCAATTGGACCCTCAACACTGCCTAGAAATTATACTATACTTCGTCAAGTCAACTCATCCATATTTTTTTTTTTTTTTGAGTTGGGGTCTCACTCTGTTGCCCCAGGCTGGAATGCAGTGGCATGATCATGGCTCACTGCAGTCTCGACTTCCTGGGCTCAAGCAATCCTTCCACCTCAGCCTCCCAAGTAGCTGAGGACTACAGGTGTGTGCCGACATGCCTGGCTAATTTTTTTATTTTTTGTAGAGACCAGGTCTCACTATGTTGCATAGGCTGTCTGCAAACTCCTGGGTTCAAGCGATCCTTCTGCCTTGGTGTTCCAAAGTGCTGGGATAGCACTGTACCCAGCACATATTTATTCTTCACCAAAAATATGGCAATCCTCTTCTACTTTCTGCAAACTTCCCCTATTAGTTAATCAGCAAATGACTCATCTTCTGTTTTACAGGAAAAAAAAGTCATCAGATAGGAACTCCCTCAACTTGTCGCCACCAAATCTACAAGCCTGTCTTCATCCATCTTCTCCTTTCCTCCTGTCCCAATGGAAGAGGGAACTTTCCTCCTGAAGAAAGCCAATTTCATGAACCTGGGTCCTCCATCCCATCTCTTCTCACCTTAGAGACCTCCCTTACTGATTCTCACTCCTGCACCTTCCACAGGATTTCTTTTTCTATTAGATCCTACAAATAAAAATGCCATCTACCTTAAAAAAAAAAACAAAAAAACCTGCCTCGACTCCACACTTACCCCTCCACAGCTCTTGTCCTTGCTCTCTCCTTCAAAGCCATATTTCTGAAAAAGTTAGAGTTCCTCTGTCTCCTCATTTCTCTTTACTCTTCAGTTCACTCTAATTTGGCTCCTATCCCTATCATGCCACTCAAGAGTTATCATCAAAGTCACTGAGGTCCTAGTTACTAAGCCTAGTACTCGTATTTTAGTTTTTAAGTTGTGTGGTCCCCTCTGAACTGACCATTCCTCTTCTCCTAAAACACTTTCTTTCCTTGGTTTCAGCAATACCACACTCATGATCCCTCCTCTTCTACCACTCTTTTACTCTTTGTTTTTCTCTTTAGCATAAAGAGTCATCCAAAATTAAACTTAAGTTCTAGCTCTGCCATGTATTAATGTGAAACCAATGAGCAAATTTCATCATTGCTCTATGTCTTGGTTTTTCAACCGTAAAATGTGAAAAATAATAGCAAATACTACACAGGATTGATGTGAGGTAATGCAGGTATATAGGTATAGTGTCTAGCACAACACTGTCCAATACAAATATAATGCAAGCCACATATAAAATTTAGAATTGTTCTAGTAACCACATTAAAAAGTAAAATGGGGGGCCACACCTCATCAACAAGGGTACCTGCACAATTAATATTTGTATACCTAACCTTGAATTATACCCCACAATTTTTTTTTTTGAGTTGCAGTCTCACTCTGTCGCCCAGACTGGAGTGCAGTGGCCACTCCCGGCCACCGCAACCTCGACCTGCTGGGCTCTGGTGATCCTTCCGCCTCAGCCTTCCAAGTAGCTGGAACTGCAGGCATGCGCTACCACGCCCGGTTAGTTTTTGATTTATTGTAGAGATGAGGTCTCGCCAAGTTGCCCAGGCGGGTCTCGAACCCGCGGGCTCAGGCAATCCCCTCACCTCAGCCTCCCAAAGCACGGGATTACAGGCTGAGCCACCGAGCCCGGCTGTACCCCACAATTTTAGAATAAAAATAAATAAGTAAATAAAATAGTTGAGAACTTGTCAAAAAATAAAAATAAAAGTAAAATGACACAGTGATCCCTGACGCCTGTAATCCCAGCACTTTTGGGAGATTGAGGTGGGAGGATTGCTTGAGCCCGGGAGTTTGAGACTGGCCTGGACAATATGGTGAGACCTCATCTCTACAAAAAATGTAAGAATTATTTGGCACGTGCCTATAGCCCCAGCTACTCAGGAGGCCGAGGCAGAAGGAATAGCTGAGCCCAAGAGGTTGAGGATGAAGTGAGCCATGATCATGTCACTGCATTCCAGCCTGGGTGAGAGAATGAGACTCCAACTCAAAAACAAACAAACAAATAGAGCAAAATGAAGCAGACGACATTATTTTAATAATATATTTTATTTTATTTAGCATATATAAATATTATTTCAACAAGTAATCAATACCAAAAAATGAGATATATCGCATTTTTCCATACCAAGTTTTCAAAATGTGATGTGTAACTTACTGCACATCTCAATTGGGATGCTAAATCTTCATCAAAAATACTTGCTCTGCATTTAGACTTTATGCAATTAACAGTTTAAAATGTAGATTCACAAACCCATGTTATTCTAAACATACTTAAAAGTGTTTCAACAAGGTTTTAGGCCAGGTATGATGATTATATGTTGCACTGTAGCAGAACTGACTATACCAGTTAATACTCAGTAATTGGTACATTTCTCTACATTCCCACTGTTATCAGTTTAAACCAAGTAATGATAGTCTTTCACCTGGACTAGAGCAATGGTCTAGTTCTGTGATTCTCAACCAAGGACGTACTTCCCCACACTCCCTGGCCCCCACTGTTCAGGCCAATGGAAATGTATAAAGTGGGGGTACATTTTTGGCTGTCACAATGACTTGGAGAGGGACTCTACTGGCATTCAATGAACAGGGACTTTGGATGCTACAAGTTCAGTAAAGTTACCCACGCAATGATTCATCCCACCCCAAAATGCCAAACGCAACCTTATTAAGAAAAACCAGTAACTGGTCTTCCATATCTGCTTTTACTTCTCTCTACACTGCAGCCAGAGAGAGTTCTCTTAAAACACAAATCAGACGTTGTCTCTCTTATGCTTAGTATCATTTAATAGCCTCCCCTTACCCTAAGGATAAAGGTCAAAATCAAAGTGTGGTCCACAGGCTCCTGCCTACTTCCCCAGCTTCATCTCACGCCACTATTCTCTTGCCACCTTCACTCTGCTTTAGGCAGTCAGTCATTAGCTCAGCAAATAATGAGCAAATGTCTGTGTGCCAGGAACTATGCAGGTGACACAGCTAGAATAGTGAATAAAGGACATTCTCTGTCCTCCTGGAACTTACATTCTAGTTCCAAAAAGTTGCCAAGCTTCTCCGCACCTTAGGACCTCACGACATGCTGCTCACTGTGCTTAGTCGATTCCTACTCATCCTTCAGGTCTCAGCTTAGACATCCTTCCTTAGGGAACTAGTCCCTGATCCCACCCCCTAAGTTATATGATCCATAACTTTGAACTAAACATAGTGTTAGTCAACACAACTGAAATTATTTGTTCAACATTGCTCTTCTGTGTTATATCCCCAGGGTCTTACACAGTCCTTGGCACAGAGTATTTGTTTATTGAAGAAGATGTATATGTTTATCTATGTCTTTACACCTCATAAATATATCTGGGTATATTTCCAAATATTTTTGCAGATGACTGTTTATGTGAATATGTACATATACGACAGAAGACCCCAAAAATCTGGAATTTATTTATAAAAATTTGTGTATTTATTCTTATATGTTTAAACTTCAGTCACTTTCAAAGTACTCTCTGTTTGATGTAATATACCTATTGAGGTGCTTTTTCCACTCTCAAAACAGTTTCTGAACTTGTCAATTTTGATGCCTTTTAGTGTATCTGCTGTTTTTTGTTTCACCTCTTCCGCATAGGTAAAATGTTTCTCTATGAGGGCTATTTTCATCTGGGAAAACAAAAAAAAAGTCACTAGGGGCAAGGTTGGGTGAATAGGAAGGGTGGGGTACAAGGGTCATGCTGCTTTTGGTAAAAAAACAACAACAACAAAACTGCTGACCACTCAGCATGGTGTGGGCAGGTGTGTGGTTATGGTGGAAGAACCAGTCATCTACTTGCCACAACTGGAGACATTCTTCTGCAAATCGTGATGCAACCTTCTCAAAATCTCTAGATAAAAACTTCAGTTGACTGATCTGGAGAAACGAATTCTGAGTGTACTACAAGGGACCTGCCCTCCAAAAAATAATTCTGATTTTTGTATGCATGTACAGATACGGACATATATTTAGAGTATTCTCACTTGGTTGTAATCACTCACATGTGTACATATGTATATATTTATGCATGTGCGTGTGTGTGTGTGCATTCTTCTGGCCCCTAAGTGACAGCTTTGACCTAGAGGGAGCTGGGAGCAGGGCCCCAAGTCTTCTCTAAGCTGACAGCTCGACAAGAATGTAAGATCATTCAGTGACATTCCAAATGTCAGCAAACATTGGCCTGCTCCACTCTGCTACAGGAAAAAGTAGATGAAGGTAGGAAATGTGGAAACCTGGTCATTGAAAAGCTGCTACTGCCGGACACAACCCACACCGTTTCTGAAGAGAACACCTGGAAGACAACATTTTGCTTCTTCTCAGACTAGAGGCCTTAGGAAATGGGCATGATGAACTCAGCCCCAGTTGCTCACTCACTAGGAAGGTCTCAGGTGGCCATCTTTTTCATGGAGGAAGGCTCCATGAAACCCTCCCCATCTTTTTCATGGAGGAAGGCTCTGCTAGGGGAGCTGAGGAGGAAAGGAGAGAAAAGGGAAGAGAGAAAGACAAAGTAAGATCAAGAATCAGAGAGAATTCTGTAGATAGCCAGAGTCTGGGTCACATGAAGGACATAAAACTCCTACAACCTTGGCAATGACCTCTCTGGTTTTAATTTTATCATTACTCTTTTTAAGCAAGAATCTTAGTGCAGCCTGTGCCAAGTCACACAGCATAAAGATCAGAAAAGTTACCATGCCCCTGGCCCTCCAGGACTCTGCAGCCTCTAGGTCTTGAATGGCTGTTGGTAAGGACTGGGCTAAAGTCCAGAAGTAACCCTTCTCTCCTGTGGGGCCCTTAAGTACATCTGGAACAGGAGGTGGCTGGAGTGCAAGAGAGGAAGGAGTTAGATCCCTTGATGTTCCCACAGCTGTTCAGTTTACCTCACGAGAGGATACCACAAAGCCAACTGGGAACAGAGCCCTCAGTTTCCCCTAGTACCTATTCTGAGCTCTACAGCTCAGCAGTCAGATGAAGAACCAAGATGAACAGACTCAGTACAGTCCATCTCCACCCCCATTGTTTGGGTCTAGCAGCACTAAGATGGCCCCGAGTGGCAACGTTACCACACGGGTCGGCTGCTTTCCTGCCTTTCTGCCAAGGAACCTAGAGGCAGGGACCTATCTGTACACCAAAAAGTCTAGTGAACTTCACAGAGCAATTGTTCATGGTCAGCGCCTGCCTCGCCTGGCCGGGCCTTCACATTGCATTTGCTGAGGCCAGCAAGCAGCCTCAGATGTGCTCTGACAGCTGGCATGCTATCTTTCAGGAGTGCACGCCTAGCCCCACCAAGCTCTGCCTAGAAGGGCTTCAGCTGAGCTAGTTCTCAAAGATGAGTCAGGCAGCCAGCACTATCTAGCCCTTGTCTAGCCACCGGGAACCCAGAGGAACCAGACTCAGTCTCTGTGCTCCAGATGAACATGTCTGAAAGGAAACAGTCCAGTCATGGACTCCATTTCAACTGAGATAAACGTATTCCAAGTGCTAAGGCGCCTCAAGGCAAAAGACTGACTCCTGAGCTTTTAAGCAGAAGTGATACCCAAGTTGAATTTTCAAGGAAAGGGAATATGCCTGACAAAAATGACTGGGAGACATTTCAGACAGAAGGCAGGCCATACATAGGTCAAGGCCCGAAGCTAGGGCAAAGCCTAGCCTCTTCAGCCAAAGATGAGAAGCAGTAAACAGCAGACTCTCAGTTGCATGGGAGGTCGGCAGGAGAGGCGTGTAGGAGTCAAAATACAAACAAGCCAGAGTGCAAAAGACCTGTATACCAGGGGAAAGCAAAAAAGTTCACAAATGTTGCCACAAAGCATGGAACTAAGTCCAAGGTCATTCTCAGTATGGCACAAATACTTACAAAACTTTCTCTTTCACTGCTCCTCCACATGCTCGCTTAACTCCAGCCCACACACACCACAAAAGCACGCTCGCTGCCCTCACTGCCAAGAAAGCACTTTCTCCTTCTCACAGTCATATTCCGCCTTCCTGGAATGCCTAGTTTAAGACTCAAATCTTCACAATATCTAGCCTGAATCTCCAATCACCTCTCTCTTCTGTGAGTCCCCAGGAGCCACCATTTTCACCCCTTGTGTTCTCCCTTCTCTGAGCTTCCAGAAGTCACAACATTGACTGGTGACATGAGGCTGCTTCAGACCTGTTGTCCTTAGATCAGAATGACTTATGGGGGTGAGTCTCTACAGCAGACTTGGCCTCCTTGGACAAGGATCCCTCCAGAGCAGGAATCTGGGGAATCTAGTCCTATGCATCCTTTTTTCTGCTTATCTCGGAAGTATAGCACACAATAGGAAAGTACAGTCTTCAGGGTGATTCATTCTCTGTCAGGGCCCAGTATATTAGTCACACAAGGTCCTTGCCAGCCCACAGCCTCAGTATCAACTCCCCAGGTGCTTGGTGCTGCATGAGTGCCAGTCTCCTCCCTCGTGCCCAAAGGAAACTGGGCTCTAGTTTCCATGGCTTTTCTTCACATGAGCAAGACTCTGCTGTAGCTAGGCAGGATCAGAGCCGCTTAAATGAACTCCATCTCCCAATCAGAAAGAGATACTAGGGTCATTCAGGAGGTCAGAGGCCACAGTTGTGGTGACATCAAAGGGCAATACTTTCCCAGAGGTTCAGCTGGTGCTACATCTCTCCAGATGAACAAGAGATTCATCTCTGAGCAAGAACCTTAGAAAATCCCCTTAGCTAGGCCTGTCCTCGTGTCTGGATAAAACCAACTAGGGCAGCATCATGCTTACTCACACAGTAGCCTGGTCCCCAAGCAGCTCCCCACTGCAAGAAATAACCACACTCCATTGCAGATTAGCTAGCGAAGAGGAAAGAGGGATTTAAGAAAAGAGAAGAAAAAAAAAGAAAAGGAAAGAGAATAGAGATGAGAGAAGAAATCAGGGGAGGGGAACTCTGAGACACAGGAGAAGCAAAGGAAGCACCTGGGTGGGGCGCAGACACAGTACCTTTTTCAGATTAATCCACTGCTTGAAGTAATCTGCCACTGGCAAGCCCAAGTACTGGCATTGGCCTGGAAGCCTACAAGAAAGGAAAGAAAGAACAAATTGGGTACACCCATGTCCCAGGTATGAAGTCTTAAGCTACGAAGTCCAACAGAGTCTAAACAGATCTCAAAGAGCAACCAATTATACATTGGTCTCACTTCCCGGCCAAGAAAAGGACTCACCTCCATCACCATGGACAATGGGCTCCAGATCTAGCCCCCAGATCCAAATGTGAGATTTCAGATACTCTATTTAAAATAATATCAGTGGCTATTTTCAAATGGTTTACAGTATACTAAGTACCTTACCTACATTTTCATGGTTAATCTTCACAGCACTGCTATGAAGTAGATTTTGTGTCTACATTTCACACATGAGAAAATGAGATTCGAAGAGGTTACCCCAGGTCCCACAGCTAAAACATGATAGTACCAACAATTGAACTCGGCTCCATCTGACTCCAAAGCCTATGTTCTTTCCATGTACCAATTTGTCGTTGTTGTTTTGTTACAGCAGAGAGACAAGACAGGAGGAGAGAAAGAAAGAGCACATGATTTAGAGACAAATGGGCAGGGGCTTCAGCTCACATTTAAGCCTCTAGCTACAAGTCTTTTTCAGATGGGGAACAGGCCTTGCAGAAGGATAAGGAGAGGCCAAAATCTAAACCAAGGGTCTGTTCTTATATTTTTCTTTAAATTAGAATTTAACAACAATCTCTCCTTCTAGCTGATGATGCCATTTTACTCACACAAATCCACCAAACATGTATTGATGCCTAATGAGGGTTAGGAACTTAGGACTCAAAAAGTAAGACTTAACCCCTCCCCTGTCCATAAAAGGCAGTTTTTTCAGAGGAATAGACAATGAAAGAAAGAGATGAAAACTGCCTTAAGTTGGAACATGAGGACATATGGAAGGAAGAAGACAATACTAGAAATATCAGCCAAGAAAGATTATAGAGTTGTATTCCTAAGAGAAAAGCTTTGCCACAGGCAGTAGAGAGCCTCTGAAGAGTTGTGATTTACCAAGACTGTTCTGGGGTCAGCAAAAAAACAATAGACTCAAAAGCAGGGTAGCAGGCAGGAGACAAGAGGCAATAGTGGTGGAGATGGTGATCAAGGAAGAGACAAAAAGGATATAAAGAAGGCCCTGGTGACCAAATAGGATGTAAGGACCAATAAGAGAAAGCAGTAGAATTCTAGTCAAAGGTTTGTGTCTTAGCCAGTTTCATGCCACTAACACAGAAGGCAATAGAATAGAGAGCATCTTTGACACCCAGAGCAGGCCAGCACTCAGGTCTACTTTACTAATGTTTTTAAATTTTCTGCATGTAGTATCCCCTCTTTCAGCCCAAATTGGGAGTGGGGGGACCTGTTCCCACTGCCTTACCCTTACTATACCACTGAAAAGAAGCAAGAGTTTTGGCATGCAGTCTTAGATATATGCCTGACATGCAGTAAGCCCTTAATGTCTGCTGAATTTGAGGTGCTCAGGAGACATTTGGAAGTAGAATAATCTCTAAGGGACAGCTGGATATCTAGTTTTGAAGAGAGATCTGGAATAAGGATATGGTTGCTGAATCACTAATGTAACTTAAGTAAAGTTAAAGCCATAAGAATAGATAAGATCACGCGGGAAGAGTGTAGAGTGAGATGAACAAAGGACCCAGGCTAATGCCTTACAAGTTTTATTAAGCTGAAACAAAACCAGGCCACTTCCATCAGACCATCATCACACACAAGGAACTCCCTACTTCATGCAGCAGCCAGCCCTAATTTTGGACTCAATTCTTAGGTCATCCTTCTCTAAATACTAAACTAAAGTCTGTCTCCCTGTAACTTCTACTCATGAGTCCCAGGTATGTCTTTAGAAACTACAGAGAAGAAGACTTCCATCTCTTCCTTGCAGTACCCTTCCAAGATCTTAGAGTACATAAAGCTTCCCCCAGAGTTCCCTTCTCCAAACAACATATATTCAGCAACTTCAGAAATTCTCCAGGAGACAATATGTCATGAGTCAGGATTCACCCAATCCACCTCCACTCCCAGAGGGCAAGTCCCAGACCTTTATCACGGTGTCAGACACCCAAGGTCACACATGTTCTTTTGACCCAAGTTCACATTACCTTTGGTCAACCTAAACTGTGGTGAAAGTATGCTTCCCCTTTCTGAAATATAAAGAACTGATTTTTTAGCTTAAAATGTTGGTTCATGCCTATAATCCCATATTTTGGGAGGTTGAAGTAGGAGGATCGCTTGAGGCCAGGAGTTTGAGATCAACTGGGGGCAATAAAGTGAGATCTTATCTCTACAAAAAATTAGAAAAATTAGTCAGAGCTGGGCACAGAGACTCACACCTGTAATCCCAGCACTTTGGGAGGCTGATATAAGAGGACTGATTAAGACCAGGAGTTCGAGACCAGCCCAGACAACATAGCGAGACCTTGTCTCTACAAAAACATAATTTAAAAAAATCAGCCAGGTGTGTTGGCATATGCCTGCAGTCTCAGCTACTTGGGAGGCTGAGACAGGATTGTCTGAGCCCAGGAGGTTGAGGCTGCCTGCGGTGAGCTGTGAGTATGCCACTGCACTACAGTCTGGTAGACAGAGTGAGACCCTAACTAAAAAAGAAAAAAGAAAAAACAGAAAGAAGAAAAAATTAGGCAGGTATGGTGGTGAGCACCAATAGTCCCAGTTACTTGGGAGGCTGAGGCAGGAGGATCACTTGAGCACAGGAGTTTGAGGCTGTGGTGAGTCATGACTGTACATTGCCCTCCAACCTGGGTGACAGAATGAGACCCTATAGGAAGGAAGGAAGGAAGGAAGGAAGGAAGGAAGGAAGGAAGGAAGGAAGGAAGGAAGGAAGGAAGGAAGGAAGGAAGGAAGGAAATACAAGTCATTAGTGTAAGTTGCCATAGTGTGGTCAAGCAAGAGCTAAGAAAAACCCAATAGATTTGGTAATGAGGAGGTCACAAGTAATCTTGGTCAGAGAGGCATCAGTGGTCTGGGTGTGGGAGGCAGAAGGCAGCCTATAAAGTGTCGAAAAGTGAGTGAGAGATACAAAAGTGGAGACCACAAGTGAAAACTTCTTTTTTAGAAAGTTTGGACATGAGAATCTAGTTGAGATGACTGATTCCACCCCAGAAAGTTCAAGGCAGTCTAGCCTTCCCTCCATTAACCCTTTAAATATTTGAAAAATACTAGCAGGAAGTTGATCCCCTTATTTCAGGCAGTGTATAGAAAGGATTTACTTTTATGAGACCCAAGATATCCTACCTGAGAGGCAGTTTTCTCTCAAACACCCAGGTGACACAGTGACATTAACTATAACTGGTCAGTTTCCTGGAAGGGAAATTCTGGTCGAAGCCAAGATGATAAAGGGGTATCCAGATCGATATGCCCAAGAATATGAGGAAATTAGGCAATTTTTAAAGATAAGCTAGACTGTGGTTGCCTAAGAAGCAGAAATGTAATCTGATAACAATTTTCTTTCCTTCAGTCTTTCTTTCATGATCCTTTATCCTTGATATTTGTGAAAATGCTTGTTGAGTCCAACTATTTTAGAAAAATCACATTAAGGTCTATGAGTAAAGGAGGCCACCAGAACCAGCATGTAGTATACCCCCTTTCAGGAACAAATCAGGAGAACTAGCCAGCAAAAGGCAGGAAGCCCCTATATTATTCTCCCCTAGCCAACTCTAGCACCTCCTGATTCTTTCAGTTGACAAAGGCCAACAGTCCTATTGGCTCTGGCTAGCCCAGGGATAGGGAGAGGCTTCTTGTTCAGCAGAACTACAAGGGTAGATGACAGTTATAGACATTTCTACCCCGTCAGGGAGGGCCTAAGTCAGTAGGATTCTGTATATTCCTCTCCAAGGAGAACCCCAAACAAGGAGGGGCCACATTGAGGATAGACCAGGCAGACTGTCAGGCAGGATACTCAGCCTCAGACACAGCTCAGCAGCAATCCCAAGTGCCATTCTATACTCCATGTCTGACTGAAACACATGGGGACTAGGGACTGTAATTCTCACTCGGGGGCTCTAGTCACTTGCAGGTACACATGCAGTTTGCAGACTCACTTACAGGCATTTAGGTGGCTGACTGCTCCTCTGACTGGTCCTAGCCCTGTGACTCCAAGATACAAGCAGTATCTTGTAGTAGAGCCAAGCCCCAACTTCATGAGAGACACAGAGCCAAAGTCCAGAACATGAACACCAGGTGCCCTATGAGAAGACAGCTATACAGCTCTATCACATAACCCTACCCCAGCTTGGAGAGCACCAAGAGATGAAGTCTGTGAGAAAGGTGGGTAAGAGTGGTCATCATCCCTTTATACAATAAGGGAAACAGGCTCAGAGGAGAAAAAGGATTTGCTCAATCATACAACAAGCCAAGGGTAGCACTAGAAATGGAATCTAACTCTAGCTTCTGACTGCACAGGCATCATTTGTGTGGATGCACTCACAGCTATTTACAGCCCCTGGGAAGGCAAAGCCTGGGGCCTTGGAGAGGATGGAAGCATATAGTCGTCACTGCTTAAGGTCACACCTGGGTTCAAGGTTCTTAGGAGCCTAAAACTTGGGTCAGTGGGTACCAGTGGGTACATGGTTCCACCAATCTGGAAAGAAAAAGGGCAAAAGTCTACCTGGCACAAAGGGTCTGAATGCTGTAAGCTCCTACCAGATACTAATCCCAAGAAAAGAGCCACTGGCAGTGGGCCCTGGACTAGCCTGCGGGCACGAATATGCAGGCAGGTTTATGGTGCCCAGGTCTCCATGCAGCTGGATTCACTGGGCACAAAGCTCCCCACTGCCCAAACATCATCTGGTCATGCTTATTACTGTTGCCCAATGAAATTTTATGCACCGAGTCCACAGGTGTGATTTCCCCTTCTTTATGAGGGCCGGAATGACATCACTGATGGCCAATAGAAAAGAGCCAATTATGTCCAGGCCATAAAAAAGAATGAGATTTTTTTCAACCAAATCAAAACTTCCTTCAGCTTCATGAATGCAAGGGGCCCCTTTAAGGA